GCGCCATCACCACCTGCAAGAGCCGTCACCACTCGCTCCAAGACGAGCCAGTCCAAAGACCACCGGACAGAGCAAGACCGGTGGGCAGTCGTCCAAAGGCAAAGGTAAGTCTCTTGTTTCCGGTCGTAGGTTTCTGGCGCTCATTCGCCCTTGTAGACAGGGATATTCGACATCCCAGTCCCATCCAAGAGGAAGAGGATGACGACGTCCAGATGATCGATGACGCTCTGGAAGTGACTGGTACCGGTGGTACCACACCACAACCAGTGCCTCTCACATCGGTAGATGATTTCCCCGCAGACCACTGGATTGAACCAGGCACTGACGACATGCCACCTCCACCACCGGTTATGGCCCCAGAGGACGACATCCGGGACTCACCCATCCCTCCGGTCCATCATCCACTCTCCCCCATCGCACCTTCCGGGTCCCTTCCATCCATCCAGCACCCTCTCGCTAATGAGGAGATGGAGGCCATGTTGGCCCAGATTGCATCGATATGGAGGCACTCCGGACACGCAATAGGATAGAAGTTGACATCCGGCAAGATGACCTGGAGCGTTGCATCAAAGTCGCCAAAGCATTGGATGCTGCCATGACCGTGCAGATCGACCGGATACAGGGGGATGTGGACGCGCACCAGAGACTCATAACTGGGTTGTCCATCCAACTCCAAGCAGTTGTGAGGTATATGAGGGGGGATAGGTCCGATGAAGGGACAGCAACAACCCCACCAGCATTCAATCCACCCCCCATTGTTGCCAGCCCATCCATCAGTGCATTCGGTTGCACGTTGACCAACGACGTCTTCACTCCGGATGCATCTTGGATGAGCGCCCAGACCGGTGGTGATCTCATTGGCATTGAAGACGGCTCACCAGTCGCAAGGCAAGCACGGGCGCCATCCACTTCCACCATCAACCCGGCACTCACCACAACAGTATCCGGCCCATCTGTTCCTCTGGGTGATGCACCACCAGTACCACCTCTCATTCTCCTGGTGGGGTCCATGCCTCCATCTGGCACCCTTCACGCATTGATCACCAGAGGGCCGTCAAATGTGCTGGACAATGGTCAGTCCACCTTGGCTCCTTTGCCACGCCAACAATATGGACCTCTATCCCTCCAACATGGTCAGTCGGCGAGCACTAGGCATGCTAAGAAGCCTTCCAGTGACATGGAGAAGTAATACTACTACATATTTTTCATGTTTTCATCTGTATTAGTAGTCTATTATGCTCTCAACATTGTGGGCTTTCAATGAGCAAGATCACTTATGAGATAATCTCACAGTTGACTTGCATAACCTGCATTTCAGTCAGTAAGGAGTGTTTCTGTACCGGATGGGATATCATGCATCTACCGGTGATCATGCAGATCCGTCTCAAGTGCACATCCTTTACCAGCCCACCCGTCTTCATTCCACATCCTATACTGGCCCAACCGTCTGGATTGGATGTCCTGTACCGGCCCATCCGTCTCGACCGGATGTCCTTTACCGGCCCACCCGTCTCAATTGCACGTCCCATACCGGCCCATCCATCTCAAGTGATTGCACCTCCGGCCCACCTGTCTCAATTGCATGTCATTTACCGGCCCATCCGTCTCAATTGCACCTCTGGCCCACCCATCTCAATTGCACGTCCTTTACCAGCCCACCCATCTCAATTGCACGTCATTTACCGGCCCACCCATCTCAATTGCACCTCCGGCCCACCCATCTCAATTGCACCTCCGGCCCACCCGTCTCAATCGCACATCCTATACCGGCCCATCCGTCTCAACCAGATGTCCTTTACCGGCCCACCTGTCTCAATTGCACCTCCGGCCCACCCGTCTCAATCGCACATCCTATACCAGCCCATCCGTCTCAACCGGATGTCCTTTACTGGCCCACCCGTCTCAATTGCACGTCCTATACCGGCCCACCTGTCTTAATTCCACATCCCATACCGGCCCATCTGTCTCGAGTGCACATCCTATACCGGCCCATCCATCTTGATTGCACGTCCAGCCCACCCATCTCGATTGGACATCATTTACTGGCCCATCTATCTCAATTGCACCTCCGACCCACCTGTCTCGATTTCATGTCCTTTACCAGCCCATCCATCTCAAGTGCACCTCCGGCCCATCCGTCTCAATTGCACATCCTTTACTGGCCCACCCGTCTCAAACGCACCTTGTTTACTGGCCCTATCACGCTGCCCACCCATCTCCATTTTACCTCCTTTACTGGCCCACTCGTTTACATTGCACTCCATTACTCCGGCCCACTCGTCTATCCCACTGGATTCACTACTATTGTTGATATCCTATATAGTACATTCCTGTATTACCATCCATACTATATACCCCCGGCCCATCTGTTTGCCTCAGATACACCACACCCTCAGCCCACTCGTCTATCACAGTGCAATTATTGCCACTGGCCCACACCGGATGGCCCGTCTCTATCAGTACATTGTCACGCCCGGCTGCCCGTCTGAGACGGGTATATGTTACTGTATTATGTGCAACACTGTACTTCTCATGCGCAACACCCAACCTTACAACAGTGATCCCAGCAATGGATCATGTCGACAATATGCTCACATCCTACTCTCGCGACAAAAAATATATGCTCTCAATCTGTTCTGCAGTTCAACTTGCCAAACATACTCTCAACCACTATTACCAGCTCACAGACAATTCTGTAACATATCAAATCGCAATGGGTATGTGATTTTTTTTATTTTTTGTTTTAAAAGACTGTCATTTATATACTAATTCAAGTCTTACATCCACAGCATAAACTAGCCTACTTTAAGGCCGCACAATGGGAAGATGACTGGATTGAAATGGCAGAGAGACTTGTGTGGAGTGATAATATCTTTAACAATCTCCCAGCACTTGCACCCCTAAAACATGTTAATGCAGACTCCAAACTCGACCAGTACCTCCATATGGACATGGAACGCATCACTCACCCTATCGCTTGGTGGTGCGAACATCAAAAGTCTTTCCCCCAGCTTTCACGCATGGCTATCAACTATCTAGCCATCCCTGGTATGTACTAACTAACTTTTCTAACACACTGCAAGCTTATATTTTCCCACAGTGACATCCATTGATGTAGAACGGTTGTTCAGTTGTGGGCGTCTCATCTTGTCACATGTCAGAAATTGTCTGTCAGCTCAGTCAATGTGCGTGCTTCTTTGTCTTGGCCTATGGAGTGAGTTGGGCCTCATTGAGTCTGACAATGTGATTCAGGTATCAAAGCTCCCAGATGTTGTGGGGGAAGATGAAGTCATGGCTGATGGATGGGACAGTATTTCAGACTACTAGCTAATACATTTGTTATCTTGTAGTTGTAATTCACAGAGACCTGTAGGTCTGTTTTGCAGGTACCTGTCGAAAAACCCTTACCTGCTGTGTGGGTACAGGTATCTCTCAGGGTATGGGTATGGGTTTGACTATTGATACCTGGGGGTATACCTGTGCAGTTCCCTAGGTATGCTACCACCCCTCACTGGCTACGAAGGAGGAATGTCATAGCATTGTTGTAGACCGTCCATGTTAAACTCAATTTGTTCACAGTATAAATGCTAATATATATATATTGGAAAAGGTCTATTATGGAGCAACTGACACTGTCTAGCTCTATGTAAAACACTTATAGCGGCACACTGGTGCCATCCGAGGAAAAATGCTACTTATGCACACTCTGCATTCGGGAGTAGTATGGGGCTCCATATACTACCTGGTGTCCTCGGTCTGCAAGGGCCTGGGTAGTTTAATACCCACTAAAACCTCTATAGTAGTTACCCAATCATTATTAGGGTTTGTTTTGTTGTTGTTTACCTCAATTATGTTGGCCCAAGTCTGGAGGACTTGTGCAGTAGTCTTAGGTGATCTTTTTGTTCTCAATGCTATCGCACGATCCAGCTGCAGGCGCTGGTTGATGTTATTTATCCATCTACTAGTAATGATTTCATCGGTATGGGTTTGTCCTCTGATGGCTCTCTCGCATCTTAGCGTCCAGACAAGATAAGCTGACTCGGATATCATGATCTTGAGGAGGTGTGATGCTCCTTTGGTGGTTCTGTGTGATATGTGGTTGTCTATATCTCAATCTCAAGGGGCTTGTGGGAGAGATATCACGCCACAACCTAGGACAAGTCCTATTGTGGGCTCTGGCTAGGGTCCATATCTTCTTTTACGTTGGATTGTTGCATTTTGTGAGGATGTGTTCCATGGTTTCTGGATTATCTCCACATGTGTGGCACTGGGCTCTGTGTTCAAAGGTGGGTACTTTTAACCAGAACTCACCTATTCTGAAGGCATTGTTCAGTGTCTTATATATGAATATCTGTATTTTCTTCGAGATATCTCGGTGTCTGCAGCTTTTCCATATCATTTCATCTGTTTCGATCATGGATGTTATGGTTTCAATAGCTGTTCTTGTTGTGCTTAGTAGGGCGAGGGTTTGTCTATTGTATTCTAGGTGTGTGTCTTTCATAAGTGTTCTATATGCTAATTGTTGGGTGATGCTCAATAGTTTTTCACCTTGTAGGTCAAAGTTTCTTGGTACATAAGTGTTGATGTTGTTGGTATCTACTTTCATTGCTCCACTTTGGGCGAGGCGGTCTGCCTTTTCATTTCCTATGATGTTGCTATGGCCTTTTACCCATTGGAAGGATGTTGGGGCTGGTTGCTGTCTTAGATGGTATGCTATGACTTTGAATAAGGGGGCATTGGAGACACCTACCCAGCCTGAGTCTTCCCAGTCTCCTAGGTGGGTGTTCAAGCCATTTATTACATATTTTGAATCTGATATGATTTTGATAGGGGTTAGTGGGTTCGTGGATTGGAGCACTACAAGAATGGCAACAAGTTCTCCTACTTGATTGGAGTGGTGAGTGCCAGGCATGCTTATCGCTTGGTTCATTGGGTGTTGTTCTGCTATCCAGATTCCTCCTCCACACTTCATGTTTTGTTTTCTGTTGTTCATGCATGCTCTGTCTGTAAAGATAGTGAGTGGGTTATTGTGTGTTATTTGCCTGTTGTGTGGAGCTTGGAGGCGGTAAGCTGGTATATGGATGGGTCTGGTTGGGTTGATGAAGATGCGGAAGCCATCGGAAAGGTTGTTTTTGATTGTGATGGATGGGTTGAAGGTGATTTCTTGTGGTGGTAGTCTTCTTGTCTGCACATTTTTTTCTAATCTCCTGTGGGTTAGTGTTAGGTCATCTTTTCTTGGGGATGTATACAGGTTGTATTTGGGTAGGAGACTGCAGAGTATTTTCTCTGCCATTGTAGTGCACTTATGTGGGTTCTTACATCTTTTCAGCCTATCATTTACGCAGTCGTTGTACAAGCATGATTCTTTTGGTTGGTGTATATTTTAGGTCTTTTATTGATTTTGCGTCATGTTTTTGCTGTAGGCAGAGGTCTTTGTTCTTATGGTATGTTTTAGGTGGAGAGCCGATATGTAGCCAAGCTGGGAGTTGTTCTTCAATGTCATTTGAGATTGTCAGAGGTGCAAAGCTGGTGCAGTGTTTCTTTGTGGTTTTTAACATTGTCATGATTATTGACGGTAATTTGTTTGCTTGTTTGCCTTGTGTTGGGGGGCCCAAGACATGAGGAAGGCTCTTGGGTCTGTTATGTTTGTTGTTCCTTCTGGTTTCAGACTATTGATCATTGCATTGGTGACAAGCACCCACATTGGTCAGTGGGTTGATATATCCATGTATGTTTTCAGCCATGTGATGTTAATGGCTTCGTTTCGTATTTTAATGTTTAGAAGGTTTAGGCCTCCTTCTGTTATTGGGTGTTCTAGTCATTTGCTACTTATTGGTGGTTTTTCACTCATTCCAGATGAAGTCTCTTATTGACTTTGTAATAGCATTTTCAATAGACTTTGGCATTCCTTACACTTTTGCAAGGAATCACATATTGCAGTAACATATCTCCGTATTATACGAGTGAACGGACGTGCATAATATCCCGTATGATACGGGCCAGTGGACCATGGGCCGAAGGTAGATATATCCTCGACTATGACGGATGGGCCAGGAGTGTTATTATTCCCAATGGAGACGGGTGGGCCCATGTAGGGAATATGTAGAGTAGATGAGTGGGCCGATAGACATGAATATTCAATAGATGGATGGGCCGAGGTAGTTGGATATTATGTAGATGGGTTTACCAAGGTAGATGTGTATCAAATAGCCGGGTATGTCAAGGGTGCTTGTTATCACATAGACGGGTGGGCCCAGATATATATCATATTAGACGGGTGGGCTGACGAATTAAGATTATTTTGTAGACGGGTGGGCCGAGGGAGTGGTGAAATATTTATTATATATACGGGTGGGCTGAGGGAGTGGTAAAATATTTATTATATATATGGGTGGGCTGAAGGTTGTCGTATATTGCATAGACAGGTAGGCCGACGTGGGGGTATATAATATAGACGGGTGGGCTGAGAGAGCAATTTATTAGATATTATATAGATGGGTGGGCCGAGGTAGTTGGATATCACATATACGGGTGGGCCCAGATACATATCATATAGACATATGGGCCAAGGTGGTAGTATATTATATAGACGTATGGGCCGAGGTAGTAGTATATTATATAGATGGGTGGGCT